TTGGGGAGGGATGGGATGTCTGGCCCAGTTTCAACCCAAAGCTATCTGTTCCTATTTCTTTTTCTTTCCTGTTCTTCTAAGGAAGTGTGTGTGTGGAGGGGGATAGAAGCACACAGCATTGTGTGCATGGATGTTGTATGCCTTTTGGAGTGCCGTATGGAGGTGACTTGTCTGCAAGGACAGGAAGTCAGTGCTAAAAGCAGCATGTCCCATGACTGAAACTTGCTTAGAGAAGGTGTTTTGCAGCATGAACAAGCATGTGGTGGGGAAGCAGAGATGGTTGGCAGTGCCCAGTATGCCCCAAAGGGCCTTCTCTGAGTGTTGCTCTCGGTGGCCACATGCAGCTGGAAGCCCAAGTGTATGTGAGATGTGCATCCTCTGCATCTCCATGCAGACACATCATAAAATCAAAGAATGATAGAATGGTTTGGGTTGGAAAGGACCTTAAGATCATCCAGTTTCAACCCCCTGCATGGGCATGGACACCTTACCCTATGCTGCCCAGGGCTCTGTTCAACCTTCAGCATCTTCAGATGAAACCCTTTCAGAGCATATGATGGTGCCATTCACAACAGTTTCGTGTGTGTGTGTGTCTATGTGAAGTCCCTTTGAGTCCCTGTTCATTTGAGCTGGGGAGTAGCAGCTTTCAGATTGGGTATCACATGTGGGTTTTGACTGTGTCGCCTCCAAGTCCTCAGCAGAAATTTGAGCAGATAAGGCTGGGTAGCAGCTGGGAGTCCAACACAAGCAGGGACAACAAAGGATGAAAGGCACCAAGCAAACGAAACAAGCTTTTGAAGTCCTTGCAGAAACAGCCCTTCACTATATTTAGTGAACCTCACGAATCCAACAGAACAAAACCGTCATCACTAGAGGGAAAAGAGGAGAAGTTGCCCTGAATGAAAATAATACAGAGAACAGCACAGAGGAAGACAGAGTGGTAATGCAGGTGGAGAGGACACCATCTTACAGCATCTCTGTGCCTGTCACCTGCTAAAATCAGCCTATGTTTCCTCACCCCCTTTGGGGGGTGTTAGATCTTCTGGTTGGGTGCCCCTGTGAGCTCTGGGGAGCATGAACCTGTCACCTATAGTGGCATATGGCCCCTATAGACTTCCCTGCAGCTCTGAGATGCTTTACACTCGTGTAGCTTTGGCCTCTGAGGAAGCTGTCCTCAACTCTGCTACTTCTGGAAAGGGAGTGAGAGTAGAAGGGGGTTGCTTGGGAGATCCTGCCAGGGATATGCTTCAGCAGGATAAAATCCAGCATTGGTATGGCTGCTTTAAAGGGTGCAAATTCGATGAGAACCTGGGCAAATGCCTACTTCATCTTCATCTCCTCTTCAGGGGTGTTCGCACAGCAGCCTTGAGGGTTTCTGCTACCTGTGAACATTGTATTATCAATTACCCTCATTAGAGGTTGGCACCTGCTTGACACCAAGTGTTTTTCAGTAATATTTAACCTTTTTCTTGCCAGGCCCTGGAGCCAATGCTCACAGAAGCTTTCCTTCATCAGGCAGCAAAACAGGAAAGAACAAAAAAGAGAGGAAAAAGGCACACAAGGTTAATGCCAGTTTGATTGGTGGCTGGCTGCAGAGTCTGAAGGTTGCTCTCCATCAGTGCGAGCACAGCGAGGACCTGTGTTTGCATGGAAGGTATTAAGCACAAAGGAGGTGGTCAGGCCCTCACCTTGTGGATTTAATCACTTCTGTGCCTGAGTGCCATGCAGGGCCTTGGCAGCCACATCTCCCTCCTTTCAGCACGCAGCAGCTCACCTGCTTAATATCACTTGCAGCGTGATATGCAGAATGAGGTAGGAGTAGCATAGATAAGCATGTAACCATAAGATTAGATTTGTTTCCCACAAGCATGCAGACAGGCAGCTTCAATCATGCCAGTGTCTGCAGAGAGTTAAAACAAAAGGGGCAGCAACATTGTCAAAGGCAGCTCGTTTTGAAATAGCTAATAATGACAATAAGACTTTCAATTTATCTATAATCTTTTCAGTAGCAGTTATCATTGTACCATCCTGCCACCTCCCACACATTAATGAGTTTATCTGTACAAGCCCACTATGACTGGGAAGGATTATCCTCCCTCCTGACAGATGGGGAGGGAAGGCTTTGGGAAAGGTAAGATCACACATTGCAACCACAGCCAGACAGGAAAGAAAGACCCGGGAGCTCTGAGTCAACAACATGACTCCGAGTTTCTCAATGCTTTCCAGGTCAAACACTGCTTATTCAAAGCACAACCATTTTGCTGCCTCTCCTCAGCTGCAAAGAGGAGTAAAAAATCTACCCCTGATAAGCTCATAGCGATGCGCAGCGAGGATGGGTTTGTCTTTTGTGAATGTGTTTGCTTGTGTGTGTACGCGTTTGGAGAGGCTGACGAAGATTACTCGGGAGCATTAGGCTGTTTTCTCTGGTTTAGATTGTAATCATATTTTCCTTACTTTCGTAGGCCCCTGACTGTTTATTGTGCCCCTCCTGGGGGTTGTGACGTTCTGAAAGGGAAAACTGATCCGATGTGTGCATTGCACAGGGAAGAGAAGCTGTTCCTAAGGAGCATGGGCTGCTTTAGAGCAGAAAAAGGCATTTTTTAACACTTTAACAAGGTATTTGAGGCCTTTCCTATGTTGGCCACATACATTGCAGAGCAAAGTCTAAACCTAAGCCCTGGCATCTTGAGAAGCTGCTTGTATTTGCCACGCTGCTGTTGACTTGGGTACATAGAATGCATTGCACAGGGAGGTGAAGCTGATCCTATGTGGGCTGTTTTAGAGCAGAAAGAGGCATTTTCTAACACTTTCTCAGGGTATTTGAGGCCTCTGTTATGTTGGCCATATATTTTGCAGAGCAAAGTCTAAACTTAAGCCCTGGCATCTCAGGAAGCTGCTTGTATCTGCTGCCGTTGTCTTGGGTACATAGGATGCAGCCCTGGAAAGGCATATAGACCTCTGAAAAATATCTGTTCAGGAAGAGGTTTTCCACAGCATCTATAAAACATTCATGACACCTCCATTGTGCTGTAAATCCTTAGCAGGAGTTGATAACAGTGCATGAATTTTTAATGTAACATTTATAAATGGTTATTAAAACTATCCTTAAAGTAAAGTGTCAGTTTATTTTTAATTAACTGTTGGCTATTTAAGCTCCTGATGGCTCCAGGGCAGATCAACAGTCTAACAAGTTAATATTCCATGTTAACCCTTCATATGTTGCCTCTTTGGATGAGGAAGATGAAGATGCATATACAGGATCAGCAATGAGATCCTCACTCACTGAAGAGAAATGTCATAATTTCATGGAATGGGATTTCTTAGTGCTCTGTTTAAGACAGTTTAGAGCTGTGAAAGGATTTATTTCCTGCATATTGAACAGATACAGATAAATAGCAGAGCTGGGTGATTCTTCTTAGGAAAAAAAAATACCTATTTTCATAGCACTGGTGAGAAGAAATTTCCATTGAAGTCAATGAGCTTGGATCAAACACTTCGAATTGCACCAGCTGCAGTTTCAAGCAACCCACATATGAAGAGCAGCAGCACTCTGAGATGTGTGAATACAGGTTCAGTTGCAAATGACTCAAATTGACTGTGCAGTTCAAGATTTGGCATTGTGAAACCTGGAACAGTTTACATAGCAAAAAGTGTGCTGCTCGGAGGGCTTCATCCTCAAGAGCAGCTTGGAAAGTGTGAGGATGGAGCTGATGGAGAGTTTTCATAGAAGCATGGAATCATAGAATGGTTAGGGTTGGAAAAGACCTTAAGATCATCCAGTTCCAACTCCCTGCTATGGGCAGGGATGTCTCACACTAGACTATGTTAACCAAAGCTCTGTCCAACCTGACCTTGAACACTGCCAGGGATGGGGCATTTACCACCTCCTTGGACACCCTGTGCCAGCGCCTCAGCATCCTCAGAGTAAAGAACTTCTTCCTTATATCTAACCTGAACTTCTCCTGCTTCAGTCTGAACCCATCACCCCTTGTCCTATCACTACAGTCCCTGATGGAAGAGCCCCTCTTCTTCATCCTTGTAGCCCCCTTCAGACACTGGAAGCTGCTCTGAGGTCTTCACACAGCTTCTCTTCTCCAGGCTGAACACCCCTGACTTTCTCAGCTTGTCTTCAAATAGGAGGTGCTCCAGCCCCCTAATTATTATTAACTTTTAATGACTTCATATAATTTATGTTACTTAACTGACCATTTTTTGAGGTTTCAAATTCAATTATTCTCCAGCATGTGACACACGTTTTGCATTTGTTGCTGTCATTGAAATTAGTGACAGATTTCACAGATATTATGTCTTCTGTAATTGTTGATCTAATCCATGGGAAGGCTCCTGTGCTCCTCTTTGAAAATGAAGGTCAAGCCAATGCATCCCCACGAAGCAGATTGGTTTCAGTGTCATTAGCATGCAAAAAAGGCTCAGTTCATAGAAGTTTTGTCACCTAAATAACAAGTTTAACCCCAGTTTGCAGCAGAGACATTTGTGGGGGCACCAGAGTTTGGGCTGTTGTGCTCCTGAGCAGTGAAGTCCTGGTGCATCTCTTTGCTTCCTTTTCCTGCTCAGCTCAGTTATACTCAAGGCTTTTGGGGGCAAAGAGCCAAAGTCTCTCTCTAGGTGGGAATTCATGAAGCTGAACTTTGCATTGCTGGTGTCCCTAGAGCCACCAGCGAAAGGTCGGTGCTTCCAGACACCGCTTCAGAGCTTGTTTCTCTTGGATTTATCAAGATCTGCACCTGGGTGATATGAGGATTAGGTCCCAAAACCTGGAGAGTGTGCATATCGCAAGCTTTGGCCCAGCTTCCCATGTGGAGAAGCTGGGCTCTTGCTTCATCCCCTGCTTTCTTTGTAAAGCCCTTTCTGATCATCACTGCTGTCTTGGTGCCATCTATCACTAGCAACTAACCCCTGCAACATGCCTGTTGATTGAAGGCTAAATCTCCCTGGGCAAATAATTGTTATTTAAAATCATATTTTATTTTCCTTTCTAGATGCTCCTTTCCCACATGATCAGCCTGAGCTTTGGGAAAGCGTGAACTTCAGATCTTTGGAGCATGTAAAGCAACAAGGCATCAAGGCAGCAGTGACACAGGCAGTAATATCCTTCGGTAAATGCCGTTCAATGCAGCAGAGCTTCTTAGCGATTAAAGGAGCCTTGGAAATGTCATTGCCCTGGCCAAATGAAATCATTTGTATCTTCTGTCACTGGAATCAAATCCTCTTTCTTTATATATATATATATATAATTAACTTGTGACTGTGGGAAGGTGGGAGCAAGGATGGGGGTTGGGAAGGGAATTTCATGGGTATTCCAGCTGCAGTATGGAAATGATGGTTGGGTAATTGTGCTCTCTAAATGAACTTGACTCGATGGTTGGTGTCAGGTTTTGTTAAGTGCCCTGGGCCAATGGAGACTAATTAGGAATGCATTAAATATTAAAGCTCTCTGACACTGGGGCATTGACAGTGACAGAACAAAAGAAATCCCATAACCTAATCTGCACCCAACAGGAGTAATTTATGTTCCCTTCTTTTAACAAAGAAAAATCCAATTATTTGGCCTGCTGGAAAAATGTATTTAAAGGAAAAGTTAATTTAGAAGGGGGGAAAAGTATATATGAAAAAATAACACAGATGCTGTCAACACAGCCTGTGAATGTCAGTTCCCCTGAAGTTTTGACTTGGTCGATTGCTTTCATTTATGAACAGGGAGACTATTTCTCTGTTATGAGGCTGTTGGCTGATTTTGCCATCCCAGAAGCAAAGGGAAGATTGTACTTTCCCTCCTCTGTGGCTTAAGTCAACTGGATGCATCCAGAGATGGTCCACAGGGGATGCCTCTGGCTATGCAGCAAGGGTTTGGATTGTGCATTGAGGGTTTGGGGTGCTGGCATGGTATCCCTGTGCTGTAAGGGGAGCACTGCAGTATGCATGCTGCAGAATGGGTGTGCTTATGCAGGGCACTTTGGAGGTGAGGCATGTACAAAGCTTTCAGAAAGTCTAGCAATTAAATTCTATTCCCATCTCTCTAACAGAAGCCAGCCCTAACATCTCCACCTCCACACTTTGCTGTGCCTACCAGTTTCCAGGGCAATTTTGTCTGACCTTTAGTTAAATGTCCTGCTCTACCAGGCAGCTCATTTCTGCTGGTCTGTCTACTTATGCAATCTAATCAAATCCAGAATGGAATATAATCAGCCTCATCTTGTAACAGCAACTTGCACAAATACCCGTCTCGCTGTCTGCCACCCTGTCTATATATCTAATCTCATCTTCAGGCCTGATGCTGTTACTGGGGGTTTTAGCAGTTGCCTGCCAGATCTGGAGGAAATTGATGGTGGGATACCCAAGCCCCTAGACCCTAAGCAGAGTGATGAATGGGAAAATAAAGGTGGTTAAAGCTCATGCTGTCCACCCTGTGGACACAGTGGGGCATCCCTCTCTGCGGCATGCAGGAGTGTGTATGGTACCTAGTCACACGTCACAAACACAACTGGCACCTTTCTCTAGCCTCTTGTCCTCTGTTTCCCCCCACTATTTCCAACAGCAACAACCAAAAATCCTGTTTATTTATGAAATTACCAGAAGCCCATTTTCTAAAGGAACTTGGTTGCCATGGGTTACCTGATGCTTATCTGCCACCGGTGTTATTTTGCTAACTGCAGCCATTACAGCAAGAGCCTAAAGAAGCAAAGCTGGGATAGCCGAGTACTGCCTGCCATCCATGGAATAACAGGGAATGTGTTCCCTAGGGGAGCTGGAAAACTGCTTCTCCAGGGCCTGGCTTTCTCGTGCCGTTGGGCTTCTGAGTCCATCAGCAGCACATCTCTGCAGCAGGCTGGTGATGAATACAAACTTACTTTGCAATGGGAGCAGAGAGGACTGAGGTGGGGAAGGGAAGGCAGGTGGAGCATCTGAGATGCCCAAGAATGAATTTAGGGGGGGTTATTCAGATAGTAGGAATACTCTGAAATGGGCAGGGACTATGGATAGGAAAATCTGCTGTACAGACCAATGCTGTGACTGTGCTGCACTTGGCATTCATGTGGCAATTCCAAATAACACTGATGAAGAGAGGAGAAACTTCGCTGAGGAATTGTCTAGGAAGAGTATTCCTCTTCGGTGCAGGAAGAACACTGAAGAAATCTAGCCTTGGGGCCTGGGGAATGAAGTAGAGAGGGAATGTTCAGGGCCTTGTGGTTGGCAAATAGGCAATGCATTGATACCCTTCATTTGGGCATCTTCTGGGGGTTCCTTATCTGTGCAGACCCATGTCCTTAGGGAATCCCTGATGCTGAACCCGTCCTTTACCTCGCTGCTGCCCTATACACCAGCAGGACTTCTGGAGCTGATCAGCACGACAGAGCTACTGATTATCCCTCTTTCCCCTCATTCCCTTTGCAAACCTATTCCTTTGTCCCATGCCTTCAGTACTGTGAGTCCCCACATCCCTTTTTTCTCTCTGGTCTATCCCCAGTGCTGGGAATTTCTGAGCCCCCTCTGTCCTGCAGCCCTCCTTACCTGCAGCAATTGCAGCCTCTCCATCAGCACAGACAAGAGTCCTTTGCTGCTACAATAATGAGCAAAAAAGAAGCTAAAAACAATATTTTACATTTCAAATAACTCCTGACACATCCCTTGTCTTTCTCTAACAGAATGACAAGTGACTTTATCTTGAAAGAGAAGGCAGTCTCCTAGAGCTGTCTACATTGTCAGGGAAAAGGATCTGTAAATCCTCTGACTGCCTCTGTCACTGCTAGACTTCTCCATCCTTTTTCATTTCTCTGTTCCGCTAAAGTCCCTTTTTGTGCTATTTCCCAAAGTGCTGCACTTCCTTTGAATGTTTTCAGCCCAAAAGAAAACTCCCTCTCATCTAAAAGTAGGAGGAAAGAAACCCCTCCCTGCCCAGAACGAATTAAGACGGTGCTGGTTCCTGCATCTGGATCTTGTATAGGATGTGAATTTGAAAAATAGACAGGTATTTATCACTTGTTCAAATAAGGGGGGAAAGGATGTTAATGAGAGAAAAAAGACACACAGAGGCCTGGAAGGGAAGATTTGTTCAATGCTAGAATAAGTAAAATATTTACTAATGAGAGAGGGAAGAGAAAGTCATTTAAAATGTTTAAAATAGTTGTGTAGGGGTTTTTCTTTCAATTCATGCCTCCTTTGGTTTTCATTCCATATTTCAATATTTGCCAAGCTTTCCAGCATAAGATTTACCTCAAGTGCGTACAAATTACCTGGCATTTGGTTAAGGACAATATGTCTAATTATGGCTCTAAAGACCTGAAATATTTTTGACTTAAGCTAAAAGTCAAACTCAAAAAGAAAAAAAACCAGAATGAAATTAATAATCTTTTTAGAATTCATCCCCATGATCATTGTTGGACCAAACACTTCAGTGCGAGAGATTAAAAGAAGGGAAATGAGAGATCGGGGAAGAACAAGAGAGAGAAGAATAGGATTTTTGATGTTGCACCCTGATTTTACCCTTGCTGAAGACATAGGGAAAGTCTTGTTTAATTGCCTGGATTTGGGTTGTATCCATCCCATTTGATGGGAAAGATGTAACCCTTTGCCACCATGCTTTACCCACTGGGCTCCCCATCACAGACACTGTTTGCTACTGCACATGTGTCCCCTGGCTCATACAAACACTCCTGCTCTGCCATTCCGGGTGCAGCCTGGCTGTTGGAGGGCCAGAGCTCAACCCTCCATCCACCCTGTACACCGATAATGAGGTTCAACCCATGGTGACAAATAGCTGTTCACTCCTCTAGCTCCTTGTCACTGCTTTTCCTCAACCTGAATAAGTAATGAAACTCAACTGAGCATATTAATTATTTTCCCCTGGAGGGCAGGAGAAGGAGGGGAAGTAGCAGCATCTCCAGAGGGTTGCAGAGCTCCAGCAATTTGCCTGCAGTTTAGAGGGCAGAGTGACCCATCCTCAGGAAGAGGCAGAGGTTGCAGGTGTGCTAATTTCATGGAGAAGAAAGGCATTGCCAAATAAAGAACAGATGGCTTCAGTCACTAGTTATTTATTTCTATAATTAGCCACAAGCTGGGATCTCAGACCTTAAAGAAGTTGGCATTTCCTATGAAATTCCTTCTTGCATCAGGCAGGGCTGAAGCATGCATGACACAGGCTGGGCTACAGCGATGGATGTGCCCAGCTGGGGCACATGCTGCTTTTGGCTCTTTAAACAACTGCAGTGTGTTAAAGAATGGTTTAGGCACTTCTTTCTTGGTGGAGCCCAGATGAACGTCAAGGGCAGTTTAGTCTTGTTATATAGGAAAACATTTAAGTGTGAGTTAAATTCCGCTCTGTTATCACCTTGTGTTGCTTTCTTCCCATCACTCTGGTTATTTCACCAGCTTGTCCTCTTCTGATCTCACTGTTTCTTTTTCTTTTACACTTTCTTTTTATTCCTTTTCTTACGTTACATCCTGTGAAGGCCACACTCAGACTCCTTTTAAGCTGGGGGCAACATGATCAAGAGCAGCAAGGACTCATTCTGGCAGCAAGGAAGTAGGAGTCAGACCATGAGTGTTTAATGAAGGGTGAGCACCGGCTTCTGCTTTGACAACGTGACGTGTGTTATTGCAGTCCCTGTTATCTGGCCTTGCAGAACGTGGGTTTGCTAACTCCCAGTCATATCGCTAAGCCTATCTGTTCTCAAAGGTAGGATCAACAGAGCAGGGGGGAATATTTTATTTCCTTCTGGAAGCATCAGGTAGGAGAAGTGTTTGCCAGCCCATCTAGGCATGTGTAGTCTATTTCTTTTTATAGATGGCAGTTGCTAAGCTAGAACTGTAAGTAAATGCAGGCCTGCAAGAGTCTATGTAGGTAAATAATTTGCTGGATTTGTTATAAATGTGCCAAAAGCATCTCGTGACAATACTTTTTAATGACACTGGATAGTCAATAAATAACAAAAGAATAACAGAACAGCTTCATCTATGCAAAACTTGTGCTTTTGACTTTAAAAAGACACGTGCTTTCTTTTGGTTTGAATAGCTCCATACAGATAAATAGAAGAATGTATTTTTCAGCTATTTAACAACAATAACAAACCAACCCCAGACAACCTCAGAAGCACTCAAACTTCAACCTGAACAAAATTATCTGCCCCTATTGCAAAGGATCTAATGAAATCCAATCAA